TTCCAAAAGTGATCTAACCGTTGTCCTGCACAGCCACAACATGACCTTCCAACTCCTTTACTCAATGCACTAACCAATAAAGGCAAGCATACCAAACGCCTTCTTCACTCTCCTGTCTACCTGCGACTCCACTTTCAAGGACGTATGAACTTGAACTCCAAGCTCTCTTTGTTCAGCAACACTCCCCAGGACCTTACCATTAAGTGTATATGTCCTGCCCTGATTTGCCTTTCCAAGCTGCAGCCCCTCACATTTATCTAAATTAAACTCCATCTGTCACTCCTCGGCCCATTGGCCCATCAGATCAAGATCCCGTTGTGCACTAAGGTAACCTTCTTCACTGTCCACCACACCTTCAATTTTGGTGTCATCTGCAAACTTACTAGCCATACCTCCTATGTTCATGTCCAAATCATTTTTTATATATATATTTGGAAAAGGGACAAATCAAACGGTAAGGGCAGGCTGAACGAGATAGGACTGAAAAATTAAACTGCATTTATTTCAGTGCAAGAGGCCTTATAGGCAAGGCAGATGAACTCTGAGCAAGATTGGAAAAATGAGACTGAGATATCATAGCAACTACAAAGATGTGGCTCAGGGATGGGCAGGACTGGCAGCTTCATGTTCCAGGGTATAGATGCTATAGGAAGGATAGAAAGGGGGCAAGAGAGGAGGGGGAGTAGCATTTTCGATTAGGGATAACATTACTGCTGTACTAAAGGAGGAGATTCCTGGGAATACATCCAAGGAAGTTACTTGGGTGGAACTGAGAAATAAGAAAGGGATGATCAACTTATGGGAAATTGAGAAACAAATTTGTAAGGAGATCTCTGTTATCTGTGAGAATAATAGGGTGGTTATGGTAGGGGATTTTAACTTTCCAGACATAGACTGGGACTGCCATAGTGATGGAGCTTAGATGGAGAGGAATTTAAGTGTGTAGAAGAAAATTTGTTGTCTTTGAATATCAACTGATCAAAAACCTAAGTTGTCTTCATAAGAGGAACCTTCAGCCTTTATGGCATGATTTCAACCTCTCAATTTCTTCTTTCCAGGCACCTACTATTCAGTACAGTTGTTTGATACATATTATCTTATGTGTGGCATGTTTAAGAAATCAAATTCCATTCTAGTATTCCTTTCATTGCAAAGATTTATTGACTTGCCGAACTTATGAATATGAGATATATTTTCAGTTAGCTCTTGTAATGTGAGTGCAACTTTCTTCCTAACAGATTCCATTTGCAGTTACTTTCTACAACCAGCAGTTGTGATTGTTAACTGGCTGTGAAAGTAAATAATGACTGTAACTATAGCAACAGGATGTTGTGACATCAATGCAGCTACACTGAAGTGAGAACTCTTCAGCATTGTATTTGTTAGCTTGTTAAGAGAGCAATGTGAGCTAGAAACTACATCCAGTGATTTTATTCTGTAATCATTAGGCAAAAAGACACAATTCTCTTGCAATACGCTATTTCTCAAGCACATATGTCCCAAGCACGTGCAGATAACATAAGTGTAGATAACTTCAAAATGTAAAGGATTCTAATGTGTCAGCATTGCTTAAGAGTAGGAATGCAAGAAAGATTTGGAATCTACCTACAATTTAAAAGCTGACTTATTAAAGGGAACCATGAAGCAGATGTAGAAAGAGGCTGTAGGAGTTACTTTAAAAAGAGACTAGTGTGCTTAACTGGATAGTTGCCAGAAGTTATCCCACAATTTTCCAATACAAGGCGACTGGTTTATTCTTACACATTACACAAATGATGACACATTTGGGATATAAGTGGAGTATTCAGGTGATGTATTCTCTTGCCTCGATTAATTCCACTAGGATATACATTAGCCCATGACCCGGACCACATTTTGTTCAAAGGAGGATTTGGATTGCATTTGAAGCAGATTTTTGGCAGAACGAGCAATTTATATTTTTGCCTCAATGTATTATATGCTATTGTTGATTTTCCCTGTGGTAATGTTTAATATAATGGTGCTCTGATTTAAAATCAGACTTCACAAAGGCTTGCAACAGTTAGAATTTGCATGAGTTCTATAATTAATCAAATCTCAATATGATTATCAGAATTTGAATTGCATTAACATAAATTATTGGCCCTAGCAGTGCAAGTAATGAATATACCAGCCACCCTGGCTACATCCAACATCTACTGGCCAAGGCAGATATTATGTACTGATGCAGCTGAGTGTCGATGGTTGAATGAGTGAATATTGAAATAGATTCACTGAGCTATTTGAGATTACCTAGGTCATTTTGTTCCTGTTGCAATACTAACTGTTTAACAAGATGGCCATTATGTCAAGTTTCAGAGGTTTGTTGAGAAGAATCTGGCTTCAATATACACCCTAGGCATAGCGTGGAATACTTTACAGAGAAAGGGTGCACAAAATATCCCCTCTAAACTCAGAACTTACAATGCAGTCAGAAATTGAACATCTACACAGGCCAGATTTGATCACCTAGAGACTCCAGAGACCCAATTGTATGAATTTATTCTACAACCCATTATGTTATTGCATTTGGACAATACATTATAGCTTGAATAACAAAGGATTATTTATTTGCATTTCAAAAATTTCCTAAAAGCTGGGGCAATGCTTTAGAGCAGATCTGACTTTCATTCTAATTTTCAGTTATTTATTTACCTGTTTCCTCTCTGTACAGTTGCTATTCTAAACTATAATGGATGGCGTAATGTGTTCATCCTGCCACTGGTTCTCAGTTAACCTGCTTGTTTGTACATTTAGTGTTCTAGACTTTGTTCTCCAAACACACTGTTGCATTCAACAAAATGCTCACTTTCACACACTGTTCTCTGTCTCCATGACCTAATGATTAAAAAATACAGCATTGGGGCCAAACAGAATTCTAAAGTACCACTTTCACCTACATGAATGCTATGGCTAAACCACATCACCTATGCAGAGTGCGCCAACTTGTGTAAAAAGGCTACAAAGCTTATCTTTAAAAAATCCAAAAAATAAAATTACTAAAAATGCAAATCTGTTCATATTCCAAATTGTACATGAAATTTTGACATGAATAGATCTTCTATGGCACTGCTCATGATGAGTGAAAGGTTATATGGTTTTATAAATTCGTGACCAATACTTTAAATAGCTCAAAACAGTTTCCTGCTAAGATGGACCTGTCTCCACTTTTTTTTAAAGCCAGAGGGTTGAATTATGATAATTAAGCACTCAGTTAAGGTAAAAGCTAAAAGTATCCCTTTTTGGGATGATCAAATGCACAGGTAAACAATGAGCTAATTAACTTAAAGAAGCAGCCCTTAATGGGGCAAAATTCAAAACTTTAACAAAAGTCAAATCTTCCAAAAAAAATCCTGCAATTAGACTGAAATATCTTTCCTGGTGCTGATGATGCAGTTCATTCTCTGAGGTGCCCACTGGTTATGAGGTGTCATGTGTACTGTTGGACATGTTAAGCCCAGGATCAAACCCACAAGAGGTCCACCAATCTCCCCCACTGCCCAGCTCTTCTACTTGAGGTTATGGTTCTCCCCACACACAGGGAAAATTTTTTAAAATGATTTGTTTTGCATCCATAACAATGTGTAGCAAATGCGAAACAAGTGTCGTCTAGCAGATCACGTGGTAATACACAGGTCTGCAGTACTGTCATGTTTAGCTGCTATGGGATTTTTGGACAGGCAAGTTCACTTAATTGTCGTGACTTACAAATTGCTGAGATCGATTGTAGTATTGTAACCACTTGCAAATGTTAGCCTTCAAGCCATGACTGGTTTCTTTGTTTTGTTTTTGTAAAATTGACATACATATGACACTTTTTTTCCTTCGTAATAAAATAGTTCTCCCAGTGGTGCTAGGGTATATGAGACAGATGGCTAATGGTATTTTAATATTACAATGTCCTGATGTGCAATTTTTTTGGGAGACATTTGTTTCGAGCAGGAAAGGTCTGATTTTTTTTCCTTCTGATTTTCATTTGCTGATACATTTCCCTTCTTTTGTTTTCACTCTCACATGATCATTAATTGAAACAGCAACAGATAACATGACCTTTTACACCCTCCTTCTGGAACTGCGCTTTGCATTGCATAAGTGACATGTCAGACTTCGCACCCCAAACATGCTGTGCATTGATAAACCAATAAAGGTGACATTCTCCTATCATGTTGACATTGAGATTCCAGTAAAACATGGCAGTGAATGATAGTTTTCATATGCTGTCTACTTTGAATTGCATAGACCACTCAAGAATGCAACAATGTGTCCTTCCAAGTATGAGTTAGGAGGGAAATAAGACAATTTATATATTCTTCTTCAGTAGTCTTTCAGGAACAAGGATGAGTTCCTTCCACTGGATTTGGGGTGGGTTCTGAGATGGCTAATCAGTCCAATACCGGATCTGCATAGATGGGACCTATTGTGCTTGGAGGATCAGATAGGTGAGTTGCTTGGAAATTTGTGTGCTCCCTCCAGTGCCTCCAAGAAAGCTAGGAGTGACATGAGGAGAAACCTGTCAGTTATTAGGATTTGGAATGCACTGTCTGGAGAGTGGTGGAGATGGATTCCATGAGAGGTTTCAAAAGAGAGCTGAATATATATATATAAAGTGACTCTTTCAGGAGCCTGTGCAGACATGATGGGTCAAATGGCCTCTTTTTGTAAAATTCTGTAATCTATAATATATAATACTGGGGTGAAGTACTACTAGTTACAAATATGTCATTGCTTGTCATTGGATAATTTTTGGTGATGAATTAAAAGTAACACAAAAGAGAACATAACTAATAATAGACATATTTGTCTTGTGTTTAAAATGACCCCCAATGTCAAAATAGCAAGATCTAAATATGTTTCATGACAATACAGCGTAGTATCTTGTAGCTAACCAAAATCCTTTATTTACATTATCCTCCTAACTGGTGTTGGTATTTGAGGTGTTTTGATGATTAACAACAACTATTGTGTGTTTGTTTTTATTGCAGCCATCATTTGAAGCACTGCCCATGGTGGATAAAGTGGTTTCCAGTACAAGTGACTATCCCTCAAAAAAACAGAAATGCGAAAGAGTGGAAGTGCAAACACACGAGAAAGCTGGTACCGCTGAGCAAGATCTGGAAGATTCTGCAGTCATCCTTCCTCACAAGCCATCACATAAATCAACAGAACAAACTGAGAAGCCAATTATTCATGAGGACTGCACACAGGAGACCCCAGTACCACTGGAAAATGAAGTACCCTCCACAACAACCATAGAATGGAGCAACACCGAGAAACAAAGGGAGCATGCAGCTGAAGCTGAAGAATTGGCGACTAATAATGGGTCTTCAGCAGAGATAACGACAAAGAAAATGTTGGATGTCGTTGATAAGGGCCTGTTGGAAAGCAAGGAAGACATTGAAAAAACAGTGAAAAGTGATAATGATGCAGAAAGGAGAAATAGTATGGAAATTGATCAACCACCAGGCACCTCATTCAAAGTGGACAGCAGCATCTTTCTGGATGAGGACAGCAACCAGCCAATGCCTGTTGGCAAGTTCTTCGGAAATGTAGAGATAATGCAAGTAGGTGCTGTACATAATTGCTGTTAAATGTCATTCTGTGAAAATAAAATACATTGGGAAACTTTCTCTCAAGGCAAAAAAGGATGCTTTAAAGATATTTTATTAATCAACTGGTCTTCCTTCATTCTGCCTGTAAATAGAACTTTGCTCTGGATGTATACTGTATTTCCTATAATTGGCAGAAGTCTGCATTATGATAATCAATGAGAAAGCTTGTTTTACATAATTTAATAAATGACTAAACAGACACAGGGTAAGTGTAAAGGATTGGTATTTAAAGTGGCAGCAAGTGAGACGGGGGATTGCACAGGGATCAGTGGAAGCAGATTTGTTGTTTACAATTTATATCAATGATTTAGACTTTTGAAGTAAAAACATAATCTTTAAGTTGTCAACAATATCAGATTGGAGAAGAGAGCCAAACACTGAGGAAGACTACAGCAAATTACAAGAAGACAGGAGCAAATTTGCCCAATGGGCAGATAACTAACAAATGAATTCAACTTTAAGTCTAAGGCATGATATGCATTCTTTGTTTTCCAAAATATTATTTCAAAAAACAGTCTAAATGAGGTGGAGAAGCAAGGGGATGTGGGAGTACAAATGCACAAATCACCAACAGTTCCACTGCAGGTGAATGTGGCCATGACAAAAGCACTCAGGTTTATTTCCAGAGGGACAGAATTTGAACAGTAGAGAATTAATGCTAAACACCTGGTTCAACCACACTTGTTATACAGTTCACTGTTTTGGTTGCCACATTATAACAACGATATGGAGGCAGTAGAGACGGTATGAGAGAGATTTATAATTCTTGCAACAGAACTGAGAGTTTATACTCAAGAACGGGCAAACACGCTGTGCCTCCTTTTTCTTGTTAAGATTGAGGGAGGATTTTTATAGAGGCCTTTTAAAATTATGAAGGGGTTTTATAGATTACACACAGGCACAGTACTTAAAGGGCATCTTGCTCACCAGCTAGAGAAGTACCGTGTCATCTCCTTTTGTTGATGGCCTCTCAGTAACTTAATTGGACAGCCTTGAGCGTTCCTTAAAATCTGGGACGTCAGGGAGAACTACTAGCAAACAGAGGCCACAGCTGAGCTGGGAAGGAAGTGGCTACTACCAGTAGTGCACCCACCTTGTCAGAAGAGGCAGAAAGATTCTCATCCACTACTCCCACACCAGATTAAATGCCCTTCTCATACCAAACACTACCCTGTGGGAGAACATTAAATCACATCCAAAGAGTGTGTTTCCATTTGTAGGGAACGCCATAACGGAGACCATTAATACAAGGTAATCACTGAGAAATCAAGCAAAGAATTTAGAAGAAACCTGTTTGTCCAGAAAATGATGGGAATGTGGAACCTGGTATCACAGGGAATATTTGAGGCTAATGGTACAGGAGCACTTAAGGGGAAATTTAATGAACATGAGAAGGGAGTAAAAGGATGAGGATGAATGGGAGGAGGTTTGAGTGGAGCATGGGCCAGATAACATGTTTTAATGCCGCAAAATGTGTTATTCTATGCAAGTTCTCATCATTGTAAAATATTTCCATGTGTATGTAAATTTGAGTTTTAAGGTCAACACTATTGATGTTATTCATATAAATTGTTCTTTCATGTTTCAAATTAGCCAATGGAGGCTTATGCCATTATACTAATTTCAGTTTATGCTAAAATTTATATGCAAGATTTTGACATGGAATGTTCTCAGTGGCTGATTCCAGCCAGATGTGACTTTTTGCTTTGTGTACCGTTGCAGTGTGATTTTTTTTTAAGACATGTACTCCCTGGCAAGGTTTGTCATCACCATCAAATCCACTGTAGGGTGAATTTCTGATTAGAGTGCCTTTACTTGATGCTTAAATGAAAGACATTTCAATTTCCAGTGTAAGCCCCAGGCACAAAAGAGGTGGTCCTATGATCAACTCAAAAGAACTGAAGTAATTTGTTGATGTTTATCTCGCAAACTGAAAGCTGGAAATAAGTTGTTCGCATACTTGCAGTCTCAGATAAGCCTTTTCAAGCCACCATGCAGCCTGAGACTTTTTATTTGCTTTGAGACAATTTTAAGCTAACAAAGCAAGGTTTTTAAGGAACTCCTGACGTGAAGTGACGAGATATATTGATGATCTGGAACCATCACACTGTGTGGGGTGGCACTGCTACTTCACAGTACCAGGGACTCTGGTTCGATTCCATTCCAGCCTTGGGCAACTGTCTGTGTGGAGTTTGCACGTTCTCCCCTGTGTCTGCGTGGGTTTCCTCCAGGTGCTCCGGTTTCCTCCCACAGTCCAAAGATATCAGACTTAGGTGAATTGACTGTGCTAAATTGTCCCAGAGTGTTCAGGGATGTGCAGGATAGGTGCATTATGGGAAATGCAGGGATAGGGTAAAGGGGTTCGGTCTGGGTGGGATGCTGTTCAGAGCGTTGGTGTAGACTCGATGGGTCAAATGGCCTGCTTCCATACTGTAGAGATTCTTGATTCAATATTTAAGTTAGCTGAAGGAACATAAATATGGGATGTGGGCAATATAGTCTGGAATTTGTTTTGCTTATGTCCTTCCAGAAGCCATGCATCAACATGTGTGGAATTTTCCAGTAGCTGTGCAGCCAAGCAGCTTAGAGGGAACATTGGACATGGGTCACATCGTTTTTAAGAGTTTAGAGGACATGGGTAATATTGCTTTTAAGAGTTCAGAGGACAGGGCTCGGGAAAATGGAGACTAAGAGCTTTACACCATTAGGTCACATGCCCGCATATGGTGATGTCAACATGAGCATATCTCTTAAAGGATTATCACACATTGGCAGTGAGAAAATATGACAACTCCAAGCATTAGAAGTAAAGCAATGACTCTTTCTGTCTAATCTAAAATTCTGAATCATTTGCCAATGCACATGCTTACATCCACAATGGAGCTGTGGCTAACAGTATTATGAAACACTTTGGTGCCACTATTGCTTTCTCGAGAGAGAGAGAGGCATGTGACGTGAAGTGGAATTCCCTTGCTCACAATGTCAAAGGGAATCTCAGCCAGGTTTGCTTGTGCATGAGCAAATGATGGTGTATCAGGAAGTTTAGCAACTTTTGCACTTTAAGTTGTTAAATTATATTCTTCATCTACAGTGTGTCTTCCGCGATACATATACATGTGTGTATACATACTCAGTCAACCAATTTTCACTCCTTCAAACTTTACCTGATGGGTAATTTGCTGTGTTTTGTCCAGAAGCATGGGGGAATTGATGACAGGTGAAGTAAGAAGGTCTTTACTATGGCTACAATTAGTTTGTCACTGTTCAAAAAAATTCTAAAACATGTTCCATTTGAATCCAAAGCAATATTTAAAGCTTGGCAATAAGTTGACACTGATCCCATTGGACTGTCATTAACTATTAAATCATTTTAAAGTGTAAACATACACATTTTTTAAAAACATTCTTGAGGGTTATCTATCTTTCTTTTAACAGTTATGGTAAAAGTGAAGCCTATTTGAGAACCTCTCTTAAAAATTGAACCATTCTCACTAATTCAAATTCAGACTTTAACTTTCAATTTTTGAATGCTTAAATTTAAATACTCGTCAAACTCAAACCAGATGTTAGAATTCTGAATAACTCCAAGACAGTAGTTGTGACCCTCGTAGTAATGGACATTTCAATTCCTGTATATTAATGATGAAGACAGTGCTTCTTTTGTCTGTCTGCACCTGATAATGTGGTGATTGAATCAATGCACGATCTGCTTTGTCTCCAGAAATATATCTGACACTCTCAGGAATAGTACATAGCCCTCACTTGAACTTTCTGCTACAATGCTTATGTACGAAAAGAAAACATTTGGGCTTTGAGGGCAGGTGGATACATTTTAACGTTGATAAAAATATAACATAATGGATGTTTCAGGACCTTCCGCAGTCGGTACCACTTCTGGATTCTGCCACCAGGCGGGAGTATAGGAGGAGACATTTTATTGCCAAAGATGAAGAAGATGAAGAGCTAGAGGACAAGGCAGTTAATGAGACACCAGGAGAGCCAAGAGCCATGCCTCCTTCAGAAACTGAGGTATGACACTCCTGTGTACTTGCTGCTGCAGAGGTTCCTTTAGTATATCAGATGGTTTTTCATCAGCATACAGTAACCAGAATAGCAATATTGAATGGAAACAAGTACTCCATGATTCAGATCATGGCTGACATCAGATTAGCATACAAACACAATTGATGCTGAAAACAAACTGCTGGAAATTCTCAGAAGATTAGGCAGGATCTGTGGTGAGAGAAACAAATTTTATGCTTTTGTTAAATTGATTGACTCTCCAAACAGAAATTCTGGGGAAAACAAAATAGCAGGGACAGAGATGCACTTCTGTTGACATTACATCCATCACTTCTCAACAAAGTTTTCTTTCCCATTAAGAAATGATTTGGAATTTGAACTACTATTAGCAATTCAGTCTTTTGTTCCATGTTCCAACAGTATGAGGTCATTTTTTTGGTGAAGTTGTTGGACAACCTACTTATCATTGTTATTATTCCATCATTAAATGGGGTGATCCACCATTGAGCACAAAAAGAGATTGCATTCATGAGAGAAATTGGATAAGGGCGTTTTTATTTGAATGAATATTTACATGTTCAAATGTACTTTAGAGATGGTGAACAATGAAAATAAAATCACTTCCCCTACCATGCTTGAATTATGTTTCTGGATGGTAAGTTGAAGGATGTAGTGACAGCTGTTGTAAAGAAGTTATCACGAGCCTGAACCGATTCCTACCAATGTGGGTAGAGAGGCATTGTTGAAACAAGTGGTCTTCAAAGAAGAGCCAAGGAGAAGAAAAACAACTCCGCCTGGCTGATCCTCAGAATAGCAAAAGTATCAAGTGCTTTGAAGCCCATATTGCGACAGGTTCATGATTTACCTTAGCTGCTGAACTGTTAAGGAAAGGATAAGTTACACTTCTACAAATTAATAATCATGTTTTGTCTTCAAAGGTGCCTGTGGGAACTGAAATGAAAGTAAATACTGTGCAGCAAAATACACCGGACATGGTGGAAAAGTGTTTGTGATGGTCTGTCAAAGCACAGATGGAAACTGTAAACCAGTCAATGGCAAACCAAAGATGTCTGATTTCATGCCTAATAATAGCAAAACCTTATTTTTGTGGCCTGGTTTGTTATGGAAACCAACTTTGGTAATTACTCAGCTAATATACTTTCTGTGGTTGCACAACATGAATCTGTGGTATTTAGTAATCAAAATTTTGGCTTAAAATTATTTCAGCTGTGCTCTGTGATTTTATGCTATATCTTACTGTTTATGATATTCTTTTACTTAAGTTTGCACTCAAAGTAAAATAGCCCTGACATTTATATCTAGAGCTTTTATTAGAGCAAAAATCCAAATTAAGGACCTTTAAGTTACACCAACTACTTAAAGTTAGAAATGAAAGTAAATGTTGGAATACTTTTGGCATTTGTGCAGAGCCTTTGCCAGTGTGAGTATGAATCGATGGTTAGAGTGCTCTGCTGCAGAAAATCATAACTGCAAATTTACAACTAAGACAGAGTCTTACATCGGTTTTGTGGATTTTGTACATATTCATTTTCGAGAATAATTATTGATGTTTAATGTCACATTTTAAATCATGATATGGTTTGGAAAATCATGTCTTATCCAATTCCATTGGGTGTACTAAAATGACTTATCCATCCATTCTCATCTGAGAATGTTTTGCATATTTGAAATAATGTTTTCACGGAAATTAGTTTGCAGTTCTTATATATGATTCTTTTTCTTCAGGTTAGTGATATGAGTATTTGGTACCTTTTGTAAATTCAGGGAAATGTGTGATGCCAAGTGAATGAAGTGAAATTGCAATTTTTTTTGTTCAACATCAAACAATAATTACGAAGTATTGAAATAAGATAAATTACAGCAAAAATAAACATAAGAATCCGTGACCGGTCTTCACTGTATTAGAAACCTAACATAAGGAATGAATTGAACACTTCAGTTTTTTGATTGATGCAGTAGATATTTGCTAACAAGTAATAGGGATGATGGATGGCATTTTTCAGAACATTCATTAATCTTGGAAAAGAAGCCTACAACTCCATTTTCAGTACATATACTTCATTCTAATTACATCTTTTAGTTTTCCTTTGTGTTTATCGTTTATGATAATATTCATTGAAGGTTACATTTTGTAAAGTTAAAGCCCTTTATTGAATCCTATTGAATTTTCTGTATCTTAACCAGCATTTCTATCCTGTTACCACGTAGAAAATTATTCAACTCATTACCACTTAATTTAATCAAATGGAAGTGCTTTTGCATGGTTACCCTGTGTCAACCATCAGTTTCCTGCTAATGTCGCTTGAAATTATTCAGTAAGAAATGTTCTGTAAGCTTTGGTTCTTTCTCCCTCTAGGCATTGTGACTGGTCTTCACTCAGCCCTCTGTCCTTGAAGTACAATTAATGATGTTGGCAGCACCCTTTCAGAGAAATAATGCCTCTCTGCCATCCATGGATTCATGCCCTAAGCCACATTTATTTGACCAGTTTATGAAGTCCCAGCAACAGTTAAACTGTGAAACTTCGTGTTAAATAATTTAATTCAATCATATATTCAAGCTGGCTGTAAAGCCTTCATAAATTGCAAAATGAAAACCCAGAGAGCTTTGAGCATGTAGTTAGCAGTTGGTGAAGAATTGTGAACAATATTTTCCTCAAGATGAGACAGAGCTCTGAATATAAAACATTTTTTTTACTGTTCATAAGGTACAAGAGGGAAGTTAGCTGACTTATTGGAAAGTTAACATTCAATTGATGTGGTTATGTAGTTCAATTCAAAAATAGTTAATCTTTCAATAAACCAACAAAATCAATTATGCTACCTAACTATATGGTGTGCATTCAACAAAATAAACTTTTAATTGTGTTTCTTAATTAATTTAAGAGTAGGGTTGGACATTTGCATTCTAAGGCCACTGTGGTTTGTAGTGTTGCTTTTGATTCATATTAAACATTGGTCGGTTAGTCTACATTTCAAACTGAACAGGAACTCTGATTGTCAAAATCATATTGGTCATGGGTGAGTATATTGAATGACAGATGGGAGGTATTTGAAGACAAGTTGGGTAAATAAATGTGTTCAAAGGAGGTAGCCAGAGGAAATCCATTAGATTGGTCAGAAGAGGAGTAGACAGGAAATTATGAAATGCTTATTGCAGGTGATAGACTCAGTGAAGGAACGAGCACAAATATCGAAAAGTGATGGTTGATATTCCATTCAACATGACTGTTATGTGATTCTCGTGGGGTTCATGTTCATGACCAAAGTGATAAGTTTATGTCTTTGTTTAGAAATTTGTTCCTAGAATTAGAATTTCTTTTGTTAAATCTGGAGAATGTTGGTCTCCATAATCAGAATATATTCTTTACCCTTCTATTGTTGGTGTTATGTCTTTAACAACAAATTGGCTGTTTTTTTTAATTAGAAATGATAGACAAAATTTAGAGGGGTTAGTTTTCACCTGAAATAAATCATTATTACTCTACTAGTTTGTCAGCTTATTTGTTCCCTATCCATGTTCCTTTATTGTCCTTTCTTCTATTTCCTTGAACTGCATTATGGGTTTCTCCCAATGTATAGGGCTAGTCATGCTATCATCAGGGCATAAAGATAGGTACAGGCCATGGCAATTAGTCTGTTAATCCTTCCAGTAATTCATAATATTCTCCAAGGGAAGACCGTGAAAGTGCTCTAAAAGGAAATGTTATTATTTCAGTCTGTAACTGAAAACCGTTCCAATTCCCACAAACCCATCCCTCCTCTTCTCTCCCCCACTCCATCAGCATTGAACCCACTACTCTGTGGTCTCTCCAATGGACACCTTCCACCTGCCACTGATTTGAGATCAAGTTTTCATCATTCTTCGTAAAGAGGTAAACATATAGTGGTTAGCACTATTGCCTGACAGCACCAGGGACCCAGTTTCGATTCCAGCATTGGGTGACCATGTGGAGTTTGCACATTATCCCTGTGTCTACTTGGCTTTCCACCAGGTGCTCCAGTTTCCTCTCACAGTCCAGAGATGTACAGGTTAGGTGGATTGGCCATGCTAAATTGCACTATGTTGTGCAGGCTGCGTGGAGTAGCCACAGTAAATGTGGGTTTACCAGGAGGGTTGATGCAGATATGATGGGCTGAATGGCCTCTATCTGCCATGCAGGATTCTATGATTCTGAAAAGAAAAATACTTGCATTTCTGTAGCATCCTTCATGACCTAGACGTGTCTGAAAGCACACGACAGCAAATGAAGTACATTCAGAGGTGTAGTCACTGTAGTAATTTAGGAAACATGGCTGCCAATTTGTATGCAGCAAACTCCCACAGCCAAAAATGTGATAATGACCAGATAATCTGTTTTAATGATATTGCTTGAGGGATAAATATCAGCCACAACACAAGAGAAGTCTCCTACCTTTCTTCAAATTAATACAGTAGGATATTTTTTTCTTAGTAAATATTTGCTCAGCCATACATGGAGTGTCAGACTAGATTCTCTCAAAAGGAATAATCCTCTGGCTCAGAAACAAGAGTACTACCACTGAACCTGGGATAATTGGAGATAGCACTCCACATGCACCAATCCTCATATATGATTTCATTGCCCTGTGACCCCAGCCTGACCTAAATTGTTCAGAACTCCTGCATCCAGCAGAAAGCATTCTGAAAAATTATTTCCTTCCCTGAGCTTCTTTCTCATTTTCTCTCCATTACCTAATTTTCCATAGTGTGACTTGTGTGCTGTCTTCTATTCGTGCGCAATTCCACTCCAGAACTGGAACTTTGCCAAGTGGAACTGTGCAAATACACTAGTCTGTGTCTAATTGTAAACTGAAATCTGAGACTGAGCAAGGGGAGTGATCGGAGGAGTTTTCAGTAATTTAAGCTTGTTGCACTAACTTTCTACACAAAGTAATACTATTTTTATTTCCATTTACAAATATATTACTTTTGCTGATACATCCTCAAAAGAATCAAGTGTTTTGTTTTATTCAAGTGCTAGAAGTGAAGCTCATGCCAGAGTCTAGATAGGAAGCATTGTTAGAGATATGTTGTGTTTGCATTGCACAAAATTCTGGACCTTCTAAATGTGGCTATGTAAATTTACAAGACTGATATGAGAGTGATGTTATCAGGTCGATGGACTGGTGCCACTGAAAACACGTGTGAAAAGCATGGAATGATTAAGAAACAAAAACAAAAGACAAAAAAAAAAGCAGATAACTGACTTTCCAAATGAGGTGACCTTGCCACATAACTGTCTCCCTCAATAACATTGGTGTTATTTTAGTGAAATTTAGATTTTGAAGCACTTATTCAATCAGTCTATTTCTAGTGGTTCAAAGTTGGATTTCAGCTCAGCAAAATTTTCTTGTAAGCTCTATAACATCTTTCATTAGGTAGATAGTTTTCTTAATGAAATGAGCATTGATTGATTTGTTTGAAGAAATTGGAATAAGAATATGTTATGCCTCCCTCCAACAGTGATGGATCAGCTAGTTTACCGAAGTAAGAAATAAGCCGTACAGACAAGCAATGTCCCAAACTCTACTTTGAGTTAGCCAATCTCAGCTAGGGTAGCAACTGAGCTATGATGATTAGCCTTAATCATTTTGGGTTAAAGGGCATGAATTGGACTAGTTATTGACCTTGTTGGTCCAGTGCCCCCAGCTGGAACTACATTTACTTGTTGACATGGAGTGAGGGCACAACTGCTTCAATACCAATCCACCTTGCCAGCACCCTCTGTCAAAACCTACATTCAAAAAGTTGCTACATGGGTTAGATACTGAAGGATAATGATTTACATATAGCAAAGGAAGAAAAGGGGGAAAACTCACAGGCTGAAGGTGGAGGTGGGCAGTGACTGACATGAAATGTATTCAGTAGACCGTCAACACCTTCCCAGCCTTTTAAACAATAAAGAAAAGAATATTTTCCGTCTATATTGGTGCAAATTGTGCTGTTAAAAAATGACATAAAATTTGAATGCTTTTAATTCATACTATTTTTGGTATTTGCACTATGAAATTTAGAGAAAAACATTTATAAACCCAGAGAGCAATGTGTGTTAGTTCTCATGGATCAATGTTTAATGAATTTTAGATTTGATTTTTATTTCCTAGGTTGCAGCATCCTTAAGAGACATTGCCTCCAAACAGCTGCACCTGATTTAAAGAAACAGGAATCTGTCAGGGAGGATCATTTTTGTCACTCCATATGAGTAATCAAGAAATTAACCTCTTAAGCAATGGTTTTATTTGTCTATTGGATGTACAAAAAAATTATGTATAATGTACGTGAATATCTATTTGTAAAGTTGGTTTAACAAAAAATAAACAGTTCTGGTAGAAACCTATGAGTCAGTGTTTTCATGCTCCGATGCTTTCAAGTTACCATGGAAGTTAAAACTGTCTGGTTTCAAAGGATTTTCATTTTCCATTCCGAATCACAAAACCTTTTTTTTTTGTTGTAATTATATGGGAAGCCATAGATTGTTTCCGATGAATGATGCCAGCCATTCCTTTTACAATGCTAAGCAATTAAGTGCAAACATGCAGCTTAAGACATTGCAGAACTTCCTCCGTGAAAAATGCTCCGACACGATCTGTACAGACTCTGAAGAAACCAGGGAAGTCCTAAACTTGATCCCTGGACTTTATTCCCTAATATTAGAGCTGTCTCCATAGTTTCAATAATCCTGTCCAAGAAAAGAATAAATTTGTCTGGTTCTTTCTTCAATCTCAGGCTGTGCCACCTGCAGGGAATTCTGGAATAACTTTTTACTCTTCACTGTGAGACTACAGCAACAATTAACACTTAGGTAGTGCCCTGAAAGCAGAAACCATTCAAGAAAGATGATCAAACAAAAACTGAACATCAATTTAAAAAATAAGAAAGTTCTCTCTTCACAGTTTAACCTGCTGAGCGTTTCAACCAATTTCTGTTTATGTTATCAAAGAAAGAGGATAAGAGGGATGATCGAAGGCTTGGGTGAAGAGTTAGATTTTAAACAGGATCCCAAAGGAGACAGATGGAGAGGTTTAGGAAAGGACTTACAGAGTATAAGGCATATGTAGATAAACACAAAGCCACCAGTTCTGGACTAAAGGGAATATTCAATGTTTAAGTGACAAGAGTCAGAGAAACAGAGTTCCAGGCAGTTGTCCAATTGGAGATGTTTGCTGATTATAGGAGTGAGGTCACTGAAGGATTTGAACGTGATGAGGAAAGTTTTAAATTAAAAGCTGCAGTTTTCAAGAACTATAAGTTACTTTTAAAAAATATCTCCTTGTGAAGCAATTTGAACTTCTTCAAAGCACCTTTAGAGCACTTTACTTTCATTGACTTACGGCTAAAAACAACCATCATTGTGTGCAGTTTAAATTAATTTTACTGGTTTTAAAATAATTTACAAAGCACTGTTTTCTTTGTTTGATTTCTGTAAATCTGAGACTGGCTATTGTGATAGACTTCTCCCTCAGTTCCCAAGTTTTGATGAGCAACAAGTAATTTGAAATAAAAGATGATGTGAATGGTCAAAAGTTGCCCTTGATGGGGCTGATCCAGTGGATCTTGTCAAAAGCTGTGAAGCATTAGAGATAATAAAAAGTTGACCATTTTAAAATTGCTTCTGGGCCAGTAAGAACGACAAAGCAGATCAGATGGCTACACAATTTGAAATTGGTCTGGAAGAGTGTGAATATTCGCATTCTTGCAGGACCTGATCAGATCAAAGTGAAATACTCCACAAGGATCCTGGAATGAAACTACTCCGGATAGCCAAAAATGAGGATTCATTGTGCGAAGACAACAAGGTGCAGGGCTGGATGAACACAGCAGGCCAAGCAGCATCATAGGAGCAGAGAGGCTGACGTTTCGGGCCTAGACCCTTCATCAGAAAAGGGGGAGGGGAAGGGGGTTTTGAAATAAATAGGGAGAGAGTGGGAGGCGGATAGAAGAGGGATAGAGGAGAGGATAGGTGGAGAGGAAACAAACAGGTCGAAGAGGCGGGGATGGGGCCAGGAAAGGTGAGTGTAGGTAGGGAGTTAGGAAGGGGATAGGTCAGTCCAGGGAGGACGGACAGGTCAAGGGGGCGGGATGAGGTTGGTCGGTAGGAGATGGAGGTGCGGCTTGGGGTGGGAGGAGGGGATAGGTGGGAGGAAAGTTTCCACATCAAGCAGATGTTCACCTGCACATCTGCCAATGTGGTATACTGCATCCGCTGTACCCGGTGTGGCTTCCTCTACATCGGGGAAACCAAGCGGAGACTCGGGGACCGCTTTGCAGAACACTTACGCTCGGTTCGCAACAAACAACTGCACCTCCCAGTCGCGAACCATTTCAACTCCCCCTCCCATTCCTCAGACGACATGTCCATCCTGGGCCTCCTGCAGTGCCACAACGATGCCACCCGAAGGTTGCAGGAACAGCAACTCATATTCCGCTTATGAACCCTGCAGCCCAATGGTATCAATGTGGATTTCACAAGTTTCAAAATCTCCCCTCCCCCCACCGCATCCCAAAACCAGTCCAACTCGTCCCTGCCTCCCTAACCTGTTCTTCCTCCCACCTATCCCCTCCTCCCACCCCAAGCCGCACCTCCATCTCCTACCGACCAACCTCATCCCGCCCCCTTGACCTGTCCGTCCTCCCTGGACTGACCTATCCCCTTCCTAACTCCCTACCTACACTCACCTTTCCTGGCCCCATCCCCGCCTCTTCGACCTGTTTGTTTCCTCTCCACCTATCCTCTCCTCTATCCCTCTTCTATCCGCCTCCCACTCTCTCCCTATTTATTTCAAAACCCCCTTCCCCTCCCCCTTTTCTGATGAAGGGTCTAGGCCCGAAACGTCAGCCTCTCTGCTCCTATGATGCTGCTTGGCCTGCTGTGTTCATCCAGCCCTGCACCTTGTTGTCTCGGATTCTCCAGCATCTGCAGTTCCTACTATCTCTGATTCATTGTGCGAAGATGCCTTTGACAGAAAAGACAGTTTCAGCTCAAGAGTGGCTCTGTCATCGCTTTGTGGAGACCTAATATTAAGCCTGCACTTCTGCTGGGTATCAAAATGATGAAAAATGTTCTAAATGGCCAATTATTTTATTCATTTATGACATTTGAGTGCCACAGACAAAGCCAGCATTTATTGCCCATGTCTAATTGTCCTTGGGAAGGTGGTGGTGAGCTGTTGCCTTGCAGTATGACGGTTCATGGTGTGCAGGGACACTCACTTTTACTGTTAGGGAGTTCCAGAATTTTCACCCAGCAACAGTATAAGAACAGGGAAACAGTTCCAAATCAGAATGGTTTGTGGCTTGATGTGACACATGCAGGTGGTGATGTTGCCATGTCTCTGCTGTCCTTCTGGCCATACAAATCACGGGGTTTGTGAGGGGCTGACGAAGGAGCTTTGGTGAACTGCTGTAACGCATCTTGTAGTTTGCGCATACTGTTGCTACAGTGCATTGGCTATGAAGATGCCGGATGGGGTGCCAGTCAAGTGAATTGAGTTGTCCTGGATAGTGTCAAGATTCTTGAAGATTTTTGATACCAGGCAGATGAGGCCAGACTTGCTGAGTTTCTCCAGCATGTTCTGTTTTTAATTTCAGATTTCTAGTATCTGGCTTTAATTTGATTCCTGGTGGTTTGCCGGTCAAAATATTTTCCAGAGTCTGTGTGTGTGATGTGGCACTGTCTGTTCCTCTCTCCCTAGTGCTGACTGCTCTGTAAAAGTCATTTGGGCAATGCATTTCATTTTATGTTTGGGTTAAAAAAAATAAACAAGTTTAAAAAGTATGAACTGATCTTCAGGTGTGAGTGCATCATCGCAAGCTTTCTTTTGAGGTTCTTGTATTTTTTTTTTACCTTGATGTTGCTCAGACCTGGGGACAATCTATTGGGGAAACCAATAAGACAGGACAGTGGTCAAGTTAGCCATTGCCTAGTCATGGGTTCCCTTCCTCTTGCACTTACCACTCCTCCATAGACAGACTATTCGAGTGGAAGAGCAGCAGTAGGAGTGGGGGAACCTGTGAACGAAGGAGATGGGACATTGTTTGTGGCCCTTGTTGCTGCTCACCATTGCAGGGGTCTTCCAGTTGCATTGAACCAGTTGGGATGATCTCTTGTAGGAGGTCAAATAACAGCACGGGATGAGGCCATAGTAGTCCTGGCCCCAGGGAATGATAGTTAGCATCGGCCAGACTGCACGGTCATAGAAACATAGAAACTAGGTGCAAGAGTAGCCCATTTGGCACCTTGAGCCTGCACCACCA